TCAACCGACAGCCCACATCACGTCAACCACCCCCCAATACGGGGACGTGGTGAGACTGACTACCAGTTGCCTGTACAGTAATGTGAGAGGTCTAAGAGGCAAAATAGCTGAACTTAGATACCTACAATCACAGCTGAACTCCAAAATCATAATACTGACGGAAACCTGGCTAACCCCTACGGTGGCAGACAGCGAAGTCAGTATAAATGATATGGTCCTTGTCAGGCGAGATAGGGATCTGAAAGAAGGAGGTGGAGTCGCCATATACGTCGACAAACAGCTCAGATGTGTCCATGCAATCGACCCTCCCCTCATTGAGCTCCCTGACTCCATATGGTGCCATTTCACCGTTGGGTACTGTAAGTATCTAGTGGGCAGCATTTACAGATCACCTTCATGTGGAGCAGACCACAACCAGGTACTGCTGAATGCAATTTCAGCGACACATGACCTGGGTTATGATCAAATTGTCATAGCTGGAGACTTCAATGCCCCATCTCTTAACTTGATGACGGGATGTGCCCAGGACAGATTTGATCGAAATCTGCTGCATACCATCACGGAGGCCGGATTCACCGAAAATGTCAGAATGGATACTAGATGGGGCCCAGATGGGAAGTCTTCTAGACTGGATTACGTGCTCACTAGTGACCAGCTACTAGTGGAAAACGTTCAGATCACGACTCCCATAGGTAGTAGTGACCATGCGGTCATAACATTCGACATAGTCCTCCGCGAGCGTTTACAGTGGGACAATACACAGCCCTATCTGTGTTATAACAAAGCCAATTACAACGAAATGCGAAGACTTTTGTCTGAAGCAAATTGGCCAAAAAATTGGACAGAGCTTACAGTAGAAGAACACTGGAGAGTGGTAAAGGAGATCATTCACCAGGCGATCTCAGACACTGTTCCTTTGGTCACACCTAAAGCTAGAAAGCAACGTTCATGGCTAAAAAGGGGGACACAACGCCTTCTACAGGCGAAGCGAAAAGCCTGGTTTGCGTGGCGAGTATCGCAGAGTCAACCCGAACATGAAGAGTACCTCGAACTCAGGAATCGGTGTAACATACGAGTCCGGAGTGATAGAAGGACATTTCAGAGAAACCTCGCCAATAAGCTTCTCGTGAACCCCAAAAGCCTATACAGGTTTATGTCTGAAAGAAAACCGACCAACCAGGGAGCTTGCAATATAGTGGGTTCTGATGGGAAATCTCTTACTAGTCTTGAAATGGCAGAGACATTCAGTCTAGCCTTTCACAGGCAACTGAACAGTAACGAGGATTTTACCCTCACAAAACATCAAGATTACAATGCAAGACCAACGTGCGAAAACCTGCTGGGTACATTTCAAATTACCCCGGCTATGGTACTCATAAAATTGGGAAAGTTGGCTTCGGGAAAGTCTGCAGGTTGCGACGACATAAGACCATCCGTCCTGAAGCAGTGTTCAGAAAGTCTCTGCCAACCCCTAAGTGATCTGTTTCAACACTCCTTTGATGTAGGGAAACTTCCATGTGAATGGAAACGAGCCATCCTATCCCCTATCTTCAAGGGTGGTGACCGGCAGAATGCGACCAGTTACAGACCAGTTGCGCTACTCCCAGTGATATCGAAGATATTGGAAAGTCTCATTGACGACCACATGAGAAAATACTTCGACGGGACTAACCTACTCCATGAAGCACAGCATGGTTTCAGGAAGGGAAGATCCTGTGTGACGAATCTTCTACTAGCTTGGAACGATTGGACACTATCCTGGGATGTAAAGGTACCAGTCCATGTGATCTTTCTCGACTTTGCGAAAGCATTCGACACAGTTCACCATGGTCTGCTCCTTCACAAAATAAGCAAAGCGGGTGTTTCTGGAGCACTTCTCGCATGGCTGGAAGATTATTTAGGCGAGAGAGAATTCTGCACCAAAGTCAACCGCATCCGATCATCCTGGCACACCTCGGCATCAGGGGTTCCTCAGGGTTCTATCTTAGGGCCGTTGATGTTTTTGATTTTTATCAATGACCTGCCCTGTCAACTGAATTGCTCTGCGCTTCTTTACGCTGACGACGTAAAGATTTGGAGAGCAATAAACTCATCGGAAGACTCCGACAGATTGCAGGCTGACCTGCAAACGCTGGGGGACTGGGCTCTGGCTAACGGAATGCCTTTCAACTTAAAGAAGTGCAAAGTAGTGCAACTTCATTCCGGCAGGTCACAGAGTGCAAATTACACCCTTGGTGGCCAGAACTTGAGTTGTGTGCCATCAGAACGCGATCTAGGCCTTATTTTAACAGAAAAGCTAGACACCAGTGTAAATTACACGAGGGACGTCGCCAAAGCTTACGGCACTTTACACTTTATGCATAGGCAACTGGGAGCTCTTACTCCTGAACTATTCCTAACGTTGTATACGACATACGTGAGGCCACTCCTTGAGGTGCATAATATCATTGCTCCTCCGCTACTCAAAAGGGATGCTAACATGCTAGAAAGTGTCCAGAGACGAGCGACAAAATGGGTGATCGGCCTCCGCAACAAATCATATGAGGAGAGACTGAAGAAATTAAGTCTTTTCACACTTAGTTACCGTAGTCACAGGGGAGACCTCATCACCGTCTATAAGATCCTAAATGACCAGGCCCATCCTAACAAGAGCATCCTGCCATTAAGTGATTATAGGCTTCCACGAGGTAACCCGCTAAGGATAGCACACCAGAGACCAAGGACTCGAGTGCGTTCACATTTCTTCTCGCTTCGAGTTTGCCGTCTCTGGAACGCTTTACCGGCGGCCGTAACTACAGCTCCATCTGTGGAGATTTTTAAGCGGAAGCTGGACAATCATGCAGAAATGCATGGTTTGTGTCTCAATGGCTTACCCTCTTAAAATTTGAAACCACATTGTCAATGGATAAGCATACAAGCTTAATCTTCACGACCCGTCCTGTCTTCTCCCACTGTACCGACTACTCTATCTTTCTTTCTTTATTATTTCACTTATCTCAACCTATATTATCTACACTACAACCTATTATTATCATTATCATTATTATTATTATTACTCTACTTTTATGACTATACCGAATGACCGACGGGTGTTAGGTCAAACTCCATTCACGGCAGCAGCTGAGTCCTAACATACTGCACACTACAAACCACAATCTTGACCAATCCTCGCATCACTCCTCCTGGAGTCTACCAGAGCTAAAGCAGTCGAGTGGCGGGATTTACTACGCATAAGTTCACCGAAGATCTGGAACCTCTACCTTAAAATCAAGAAGCGAGCTCAAAGAAATCACTGGTTTATACTAGCTCGTAATCAGGATATTGGATATTGGATATTGGAAGCGGGTGTTTTGAGGTTTGTGTTATAATTGAACTAGTAAGGTTGTTTTTAGGCAGAAGTTCCCACTTATTATGTTGGTAGTTAAGGATTATGGTAAACCTGCAATCATTGAGCCAATTCACGTACACTATGATAGTATAGTAACACTATTTAATAAATGAACTCACTAACTGGTTTTCCATTGTTTGATAATGTGATTGAACCAGAACTGTGGGATTGTTTTATCCGCATGACCGGCTGTAATTCATCACCTTGTTCTTCTTAATAAGCATTATCGAAGAATAGGTTAGAATAAGTTTAGAATTGTTGTATAACTGCCATTTCTTGTGGTGATAACCGACGTCTAGATACATCAATGGACATGAAACTTGCTGTGCATGGATGGTTATGCACAGTTTGGTACTTTGTTATCCTGTATATGTTGGATTTGCGCCGTACTGTAATTACTGATTGACATGAAGTACTTTTGAACCTTGAAATTGTTAAAATTTACATAGACAGTAAACTTACCCTCTGTTCCTAAAGCCAGCACCTCGGGAAGCACGTTTACTTCCAAAAGTGCATTTAAACGTCACATGCTCGTATTCCATAAGACCGGATGGATCCTTTTTACTGGAATCAACCCGATACCATGTGTTCGATTCCTTTCAAAGAAATAATGAACAACTTAGTTAGTACCTTCATAAATGCATCTAAAGCTTCCTTAAATTACATCCATGTATAAAATACACAGCAAAGCATTATCCTTTGGAATGTAGCTGTTACATCACACAATATAGATGACACATTCCGTGAAGTAGACGCAGTAGGAGTAATTTGCAACATCATTTAATGGTTCTAACAATTCCTAACGTGCACAACACAATGATTTCAAGTAATTGAACAGTTGTATGTATTTCATTGCTTATATACCACTTTTGTGACATAGGAAATTTACTTTATTTATGTTGACCTAGTATGTGCAATTCCCACAGGTCACTAAACTGAAAACTTAAAAAAGTAGATCACTTAATACATACATATATCTACATGTCCAAAATTAAAGACACATTATACGTTTAGCAATTTTTATTGAATTCTATTCCCATAGTAACAAAAAATGCATACATCCTATTTTGGACTTAAAATAAATGCATCAAAATTATTGTTAACTCATATTCACTTACTAGACATTCTCATACATCTCAGTGTACTTTCAACACCACCAATGCATCCAAATAGCATGTGACTATCACACTACACTCACACCAAAAAAATTAACACGCCGTTATATTATGGTAAGTTAAGACTGACATTAAACTGACTGTAAATTTCCGTGTCAAAATTAAGAGACTGCCATTTTTACTTATATTTTAGACCAATAAGAAGCCAGCTAGCCAACAGCCAATCAAAATCTGCCTATATCGCTTTTCACTAGGTCATGCTACCTGGATTATCTAAGCCATTTGATCCTATAGACCTGGAATACTTCTTGAGCGAAAGCCAGACCGTGGTAACTATGTGTACTAGTTTTTATTTTTCAGAAATGTAAAGAAAAATGTCCACCTGATATATGTAGGTTGTCAAACTGATTTTGACAATTTATTAGTTTTCAGTTTGGGTACAAATCCGATAACTAGTGGTTCCGCCTATCTTGAGGTTGGTAACATCAAAGTTTCTTGCAGTGTCAATGGTCCTACTGAGGTGTGTTTGCTTGGTGTTCAAATTTTATCTTGTTTTTTAATAATAATAATATGACCAATACAGATGCGTCAGGATAGTCAATTGGTCGCTGCTTTGAAATTTGCTCCATTTGTATGCTGGTTACCTAAAAATAGCATTGTGTCCTTGGAAAAAAAACTAAGCCGTTTATTTTTGAGTGCTATTGAGCCTGTCGTTATGTTGGTAAGTTACTTTATTCGTTATTTTGCTGATAGCTCTCGCAAGGCACATTTTTGTCCACATATTGAATAATTTATTGAAAGTGCCTATTTCCTAAAACTTGAACTCCTTAGGATGCTTGGATCCACAGACTTTATGAGGCACAAAATGTAGTTTACCATCCCTAACCCAGTTGCATCGTATAAATGGCCGAAGCAGTTAAGTAATGGCTTTCATCTTCATAAAAATGTCTCTTGAAAGTAAAACAGTGACAATTGTGCATATACATACGTTACATGTGCTGTATAGTTTTTTTTGTAAATAGTGTGATTCCATGACTACTAGCATGATTTGCTTTTCGATATATAGCATAGTAGCCTCATATCTTTTATATTTTTCGCGGTTTTAACGTATTCGGCAGACGGGCAGTTTGGAACTAAAAACGCGATACATACGTTATTTGTATAAATTACATTAACTGGTAAAATATAAGCAGTTTCATCTGGAAATAGCACGCATGAAGGCGTTATAGAATTCCACTGAATTCTATGGGAAAAATTAGGTACTATACAAACAAGTGGTCCTGCCAGATTACTTAATTTTCATGCTATGGCTCTCCATCTAACTACATTTGACCTGAAATAATCAGCGTATGCATAGTAAGTTATCCGTGTATGTATTTCTGCTAGAAATGCAGGTATTTACCGATGCTCACGTAAAGTAGTTGGGAGCAGTATACTTAAATTTTGTGAGAAATGGTCTTCAGCACCGCACAGTATTGCAGCTAACCGACATGCCACTCATGGAAAAAGCAAAGAAAAGATGGAGGGGGCAAGTGCATGAATATCTGTATGATGATCAGAATTCTGAAGGTCATGAGGGTCGCTACAGTGAATCTGCAGCCGCACGTTTTTCAGTCGGCCTGATGACCCCTGATACAATATATGCGACAGTTATGTTGTTTAGCTCAAACCAACGGTTCTGTGCTGCATCTGTTGGTGTTATTTGTTGGTCTAGTCTCCCAACCGAATCGATTTTTATTCAACAGTTCGCGGACACATTAAATCACCTCCAGTTACCTTGGTCTTCACAAGTCTACATTCTTATCACATACTTTGAATTTCTCATCTTCAACTTATGAATCCCCCTAAACTTGACTTCATGACTTGCAGACAGCCTAATGAAGACCTCTGTAATAATAATTTTTGTAGGTAGTAGCACTTTACGAAGATGTCCCAAAGCCATGAAATAAAAGATATTGCACAGCTGAATCTTTTGCTTGTAGTAAGGAGCGGCTTATTTTGATGAATAGTAAACGTGTCTTTGATTGGAGGCTAGTTAGTATCTAGTTTAGTGTGTTTAGTCCTTTGTTTGGTGCAGACTGATTTCTATCAGTTAAGTTCGCAGTGTCTTGTCTTTTGTTTGTGTCTTCATCAGTAATCATAGGCACTGAGGTATGAATCTTATTTGAATATTCGCACACTCGTGTGGTCGTCGTAACAGATGCTTCTGTGATACTATCAAAGTTGGCAGTTTCAAATCTGCTATCTTTGAGATGTACCTGTTTGAAGTGAGTGTCCACTGACTTCTAGCCTCTGCATACTTCACTTCTCAATAAATAAACAAAGGTCTCAAACTTAATTTGTTTTTCCATCTGTTGTAGTTATAAATACCTCGGCTTTCTCTTTTTTCATCTTTTCACGTATGTCTTTATTAGTATTCTCATCCCTTTCATATACTTTTCACCAATGTGAAGCTCGATCGATATTTTGTAACTTAACTAGCACTATCTTCATCCGCATCGATGACATCACGAAGTACAGGTTGATTCTTTAGATTTATATTACCTTATAAGGCCGGAAGGTGGCTAAATACACTTGTAAAGTTTTCTAAGCGTAGGTGAGATGGATGTGTTTTGATTACACAGACTTATTGTCAACCACATCTCAATACTGGATGAAAATTGATTTTCGGATTAAAACCAAGGTAGTTAAGGAATTGAAGCCTGTCGCAATGTTGTAGATGAATACTTAACTTTATTTAAGTAGTAATGACAAATATCCCTATTCCTCCCACCCAGTTTTCTCTTCATATATCAATTATGCTTTTTTTACTCTTAGTCTTCATTCCTTTTTGACTTGAATTTGAATAAATCGGTTTTGAGCGTAGATATTGAAACGGTTGGGAAGGCAAATGACGTTCCCTGTTAATATCCTAGCATCAGTTTTAGCTTTATGTAGTTACATATATTTATTGTATACTATTGCTTGGTTCCTAATCTTGTTAATTTTCACTTTCTTTTGAAACGAAAGCATCAGTTTCCAAGAGGCAAATATGAAATTGTCGCAAATATTCTGGATGTGTGTTCACATAACTCGACTGGGTTAATTGGAGATTGTTTGGCTGCTGCCGTCACATGTGCAGGATTAGCTTTGGTTAACTCTGGTGTTCAAATGTATGATCTTGTAGTCGGATTAAATTTGGATCTGTCCAATCTTGAGAATAAAGGTGGTCATATTTGTGTTGCCGTTTTACCTCGTCTCCGTCAATTTTCTATGTTGTATACAGTGGATTCACATATGCCTCACACAGAGTTTCTTCAGAAATCTCTAGAATATGCTATGAACAACTGTGTTAAGCTTGCAGATGTAATTCGAAATAATCTTTGTGGGCAGGCTAGAGTCAAGCAAATGAGTGAATAAATTTGTACATAAAGTGTTCTGGTCTTTTTATTTTGAATTCCTCCGTTTGACACATATACACATTAAATTTCGATGAATTACTTTGTTTATGAAACAGGTTGTGTAGTGAGTAAATTTTTTATGCGATTGATTGGGAAATCTTTGATATTTCTAACAAAGTTGCAAGCATGTTTCTTCATATGAATAGAATATCATTTAGCTGCATTGTTGAATACCCCACATAGGAAGTTTTCGACATCTTCGAGATACGTTTTCTCAAGTAAGCTGTCCGAGTATTCAGTCTTAGAAGTACTCACAGAAATGCTATTCATGAAGGGGTGGCTCAGTGTAACATACATAGGTAGTTCGGTATTACACTAATTAGAAATTGTATGCATTACTTTTCCATCCAACTACCAGAATGACTACGATTCTGCTAATCAGCTTAAACAGTCAATCTGTTCTAAAAGCAACACTGCACAGTTGTTACCCCTGAAAACATAATTTTAACAATTAAGAGAGGAAAATAACTTACCGAAATATAACGGTATCATAGTCTCTTTAACAATCTTATATTCTGAGTAGAAATATTTTGCAAAATAGTTCAATTCCGTTAACGAAATGCATTTGTTTTTCCATTTTTTTTGACGCACATAGGTTATTTCTATAATGGCTATGTAGATTTTATTGACTTACACTTCTTTATGACACTCACATATGAGAATTAATGGCTACAAGCATACTTTTTAAGAGTGTCTCAAGTGATACTATACTAATAGGGAATTCTTAAGAGGTCGAATAGTGAAATTGTTTTTAACTGGACCGAACATCTTTAGTCAGGTCACTCATACCAACGTGATTTATTGTTTAAAGTTATCTGATTTAGACGCTATTGTTGATGGTTCAATGGTAGGATGCTTGTTAGCCACACAAGAGGTTCGGGTTCGATTCCTGACCGATGCACTCTTAAACCTTGTCCAGTTTACCTGCTGGTAGTGGGCCGGGAAGGCTGGATATGATAGTGGCAATCCCACCACGTAAAAACAGCGATGTTGCATAAACTTAAAGCTTAAAGCCCCATGTTCTACCTGGAACGCAAAAGGAATGAAATAAATTCAGCCACTCTAAAAGTGTACTTTTTCATAAATTTATATATTTATATGTACAGTCAAAGTGCTGCCTATGCATGAAGGAAGACCTGAACAATGTGTTCGTATACATTTTTTAAAACCCGTTTCTTTGTGACGGTCATAGTAATCTTAATATGTGTGTTAATTATGAACACTTTAATGGTAGGTAATCCCATATTAGTTTGTTTATTAAGAAAATCATACAATGAAACAGTACTCTCTACTGGATGACGTTATGAATTTAATTTATTGGTCATATTTGCAACAATTGTAACTACCCAGTTTTGAAACTCAACTTTTGAAGTCCTCGTTATTCCTTCCCGCTTGCCATAAGGCTAGGTATCCGAGACAAGTGTTGAATCACTCCTGTTGCACGAATTCTCAGCTGAATCGATAATTGAAAGATAATAGTAATTTCTTCTCTGTTCAAGCTGAACTAAATTACGTCATAGTATTTGCATAAATCCTAGAGTTCTGAGGACAGATGGAGTTAACAGTCGAAAAGAATGTTGTTCATGAGAGAACTACAACTATTTTCGGAAGACAATAATATTCATGTTTTTGCCGTCGGATGACTAACAGATGCATAATATGACGCGAAAGTCAGGCTATTTCGGTTGAAATAAACGATTAGTACCACTAGAAAAGACGTTTTTTTCCTTCACGTTTCCCAGCTTCAAGCTTGTGGCTTGAAGTTTCTGTAGCAGTGTTTATTTTACAGGATGGGGTTGCTAGCCTCATGCCCAAACTGTCCTCTTCACTAGCATTATCTCTGGTTTAGCGAGGTAAAGGAGTGCGTCGGCCGGGGATCGAACCCCGTACCGTGTGCATGGTCGGCGAGCGTCCTAACCGCTATGCCACCGACGCGATGATTTCCATTTAGTTTTTTAACCTAGGTGATTGCTACTTGAAAATATAACAGAAATACCTGTACAAGAAAAACTTATAACTACATAATTTTGTCAAGATGAAAAGGAATTGATAATAAAAACAGGACGGCATTATGGGTGTACGATAATTATATTCATACGAAGTATTCACCAGCTAATTAGACTAAGAATTCTAAGATGTTGCCCATGACATCAATATATCATGGTAACACAAGATTATCACTCCAAGAAAAGATTTATCTGATGTAAGTATTAGGATGACATGAGAAAGAATCAGCTGAGATGCCACGATAAAGGTAATGATCAGTTGTACATATTGTCCCAGTGTACCAGATTTTAAGAGCTTCCGAACACTAGTAACTGATATTGTGGAACTATTTTAGGATGGTTCACAGCCTCTAACACGTCGTCAGCTAGAACTCAAAAACCTTAGGAAATGTTCAGCAAGTCGCGATCTATACGATTAGAATTCATTTTCATTCAATTCTAGTTTAGATATCAAACTGCTTTCAATTAGACCACATATCAGTATGTGCAACGCATCATCTAACTTCTCTTGCTAGTATGAATTCAGAGCATTATATGATGTATTATCTCTGTTCTCCACGACTAAACTCCAGATTTAAACAATACCACGATAATGGAGGGGATAATCTCAAGAAAATATGTTAAGGGCTTCTGTGAACAAGAATTCTGTAGCAAATGTCAACAAGTTACCGAATTTTTATTAGCTTAAATACAGTGAATCTCAGATAAGAACAGAAAATGACCAATTACATGAAATGACAGACTTTGCATCCGTAACGTGAGCTATACACAGCGACAGAGCTCACGACTAAGCCTATCAGAGAAGATAACTAAACATTTAGACTTACATTAGTAGTGAACTTCGGAAAAAACAAGCACCTTCGGTTGTTCAACCTATTAAATATTTAAGTACTGGTTTGTAGGGATTTGACTGATTGGTTACAGGATTTCATTATCAGGTGACATCGGTTAGAAACCTGCAGGGAGTACTGGAAAGCTGTCTCGTCCTAGTTTGGGACTCTTCAGCAAATGAAATCCTGTAACCAGTCAATCAAATCCCTACAAACCAATACTTGAAAACTGATCTGATGCTTACTAGCGACTGGCCCTATTCAGGTAAGTAGTTGCCTGGGGGTCCTAGTGGGAACTGTGTGTTAAGACATCATTATCATTTTAGTAGTCGATTAGTTAATCACCCAACCTGATAGGAAATACATAAACTCTTGAACCTCAGATTATTCAAAATATCATCAGGAATGTAAACGAAAATCTTTCTCTTTTTGATTACGTCGAATCCTACAAATGTATGCGAAGTGATAGACCAAGTTTTATGCACAGCCTAAACATGTTCTAAAAGTTTATTTTTATATCTTATCACAGGCAAACGATGAAATTTATCATTATACTTATACTCCTCTCGCGATCACTTATCATTGGCAAAACTCAGACCACGAAAGATATTTTTGATACTGTCGAAAGGAATAGATGAACCATAAATATGATGGGTACAAATGCTGTGGACACAATTCTCTTTCATCTCCTGTAATTTATAGTATTACTGGCAAGGAATTTTTTAATTCCTTTCCGTTCCCAGTGGAACATAGGGCTTCAAGCTAGAGGCTTGAGTTTGGGACGCAATGATGTTTTATTTTTACGGGATGGGGTTGCTAGCCTCATGCTCAACCTTCCCTCTTTACCAGTTTTATTAATAACCTAGTGAGGTAAAGGAGTGCGTCGGTTGGAGATCGAATCCCTGACCACATGCGTGGTTGTCGAGCATTCTGGCAAAGAATGATTCTATACATTTCAAAATGTAAGATGTTGTCAATAAAAGTTCATATCATTTATATATACTAATAAATCCGCGTCAGTGGTTCAATGGTAGAATACTCACCGGTGTTCAATTCCTTGCTAACGCATTCCTAAATCTCGCTTAGCTGTTTGTAAGCCGAATAAACGGAGAAGGTTGGGTGTAAGGTTAATATCCTCACCTCCGTAGAGAAATAAACAACTCTGCTACCGAAGCTTCAGGGCTCAAGCTTGAAACCCTATGTTCCACTGGGAATGTAAATGAATAAAATAAATATAAAAGCAGACAATCCGTTTAAATTTGTAAAGACAGAAGGCAAGAGTCAGGCAACAGATCATTTATTAAGGAAATCAACGCATATTTATATATTTTCATGTACATTACTATGGTTATTTAAGCAAACAAACACAGTCTTCCGATTGGTTGTTTCTCACGTAAAGTTAATCTTTCATCTCTTGACTGACTGTTTCTTGAATGTCAAATCCTCTATATGTTAACTGCATCCGCCTACGCAAGGTCTGCTGTGGTCGGTTTTGAATCAATCTTTGTTCACATTTTCTCACGACAAATCTTGGGAACGTAAATATTGACGTAAATTACTGTCTACCAATTTGGCTAGTAGACAGCTCTCACCACCAATTAACACTGGAAGAAGATCAAAGTGATGTTCGTTATCATTCAGCTTTATATTTGTAAGGAAGTGTGATACTTTTAAGTAAAAGATGAATTTTATGTAAATGTCCATATGTTTCACATTCAAGAGCATCATAGTCTGTTTCATACTGGAGATAATTCTTACAAGGAAAGCTTTCCGTGTATGACTTATCAAACAGTGAACACAAAATAAACTTTGGTGTCTCTGAACAGAAGATTAGATACACAATATTTAAACAGGTAATCAAATTGTAAACCTCAGGTTTTTTTCTTCAGTTTAAGTTCTATTGTTCATTAACTTCGTCTCTAAGTTTCCCTTGGATTTTTTCACGGAGTCAACTATTACTTCTTTCGAATGACTATTTCAAAATGTAGAGAATTTGTTTAGAATTGAGCTGAATGTCTACATAGTACGTTTTTCTTGTGATAACTTTTATACTGTTTACTAAAGTTCTTAAAGGTGCAAACAAAACTGTAAAATTGGTTATTTGATGAAAAGATACAACAGAT